CCAGTGTCTGGGGGGGGGGGGGAAAGTGTGAGTTGAACTGTGGACCTGTGGGCAGCTGGCGGTGCATGCCCAGTACGTACCAGTGTCTCTAGTCTACCTAGAAGCTAGTGTCAGTGTCTTCATAGTTGTACTAGGGGATACATGCCCCCTTGGATATAGGAATTTGAGGTGCAGGCAGGTCACTAATAAAGATTGAATATTGGTGGCCTGGTGGCTAAAGCTCCCGCTTCACACACGGAGGGCCCGGGTTCGATTCCCGGCGGGTGGAAACATTTCGACACGTTTCCTTACACCTGTTGTCCTGTTCACCTAGCAGCAAATAGGTACCTGGGTGTTAGTCGACTGGTGTGGGTCGCATCCTGGGGGACAAGATTAAGGACCCCAATGGAAATAAGTTACAGTCCTCGATGACGCACTGACTTTCTTGGGTTATCCTGGGTGGCTAACCCTCCGGGGTTAAAAATCCAAACGAAATCTTATCTTAGGAATTAAGGCTCCTGGTTGCACGTGGTTTCTAAGGCAAGTCCAAAGGGGCTAAGCTTAGGAAGGTTGAAGATCAGGATATATGCTGCAACACCAAATAAGTTAGTCCTTTATATGTGCATGCAGGAGTTTCTTGCAACATCAATCATTTATGAAAATCTGTCCTATAAGCCACTTGTGAGGCTGAGGTACCCACCTCAGAGCTGTCAACAGAGCTTGCCAGGGTAGGTGACTCGCTTGGAGGCAGCCCAGACAAATTTTCACAACTGTACCCAAGACATTGGTTCCCACATACACATCTACACACCCAAAAATAAAAAAAACAAACAGACCCATACAGGGCAATATCCATGACCACTACTATATTCCCAACCACGTATCAAACACAAGGCTGATGTTAACGGTTAACATTCAGTATATAATATGACCTACGTACAGATACAAAAGTATACAGTAGGGCCCCACTTACATGACAGGTTAGGTTCCAGGCTACCATCGTAAAGCGGAAATTGCCATGAAGTGGAACACTTTCCCCCCCCCCCTTATAAATGCATACAAATACTATATAAGTTATTTATATTATTGAACCTGCTACAGGGGTCACCTACATGTTATGTTCTTGTTCTTGTGTACATAGGGTTAAGATTGCCCATCTTCTTAATGTTATGTTTTGTCACAAGCGATATTTTCTAGTATAATTGTGTAACCTCTTGTGTTTGTTAATATTGTGTTTGTTATTTGCTATTGTACGTTCTGAGAGATTGTTTCAAAATGTGTTTATATACAATGTGTATCAACCCTAGTTTAAGGGGTTTTTATGTTAAGCTATGTATTGTTTTAAATAAAAAAAAAAAATACTAAGTTTACACTAACATATATTAAGTTAGCAATAGAACTAGGCATTAAAAAACAAAGTGCAATACACAAATATTGAACTCATTACTTGCCTTAAAATATTTTAGTCTTAATCTAGGGTGAGACGAGTACTATTTCTTGAAAGAAATAGTGTGGTGTGTATGGCAGTCAGCCGGGCTACCATACCAGGCCATTCCACCGACGTGCATTAGTAATTTTATTCAGGTATACACAGCTACTTGTACATAGCAGCATGTGTAGAGAACCTAGGATATCCCAAAAGTCAGCGACTTATTTCCATTGGGGTCCTTTTACCTAATTATAATATAAAGGTTATATTTTCTTCTACAATGAAGATAACATCTCTTTATCATACTGAAGACTATCTACAATACGAGGGTTATTACTAGGAATAAGGTAAAATTTAAACGTATGTTAGCAAAAAAAATAAATCATTCCCCTCCCTTTCTGTAGATATTAAGACACCTTTTGGCAGTCTTCTTGAACTGGTTCATGCTAAGACTGGCTTTGACATGTGCAGGCAGTGTTCCATTCCTTTATTGCTGTACAATTTATTTATTTCAAATTTGTGCACACATACAGAGGTACAAAAAAAAATACAGATAAGAGCAGCATGCCAAAGCCACTTATACTATGCATAGCATTACGGGCTGGCTTAAAATTAACTTAAGATTAACTAAGCAATGATGAAATCAGTGATAAAACATTAATGTAAACAGATTACTATAAAGCACAAGTGAGTATTACTAAGACAGGTCATATGGTTGCATTCAGTCATATGAAGGATTGTTAGGTAGTGTATTTAAAAAATAATAAAGTTAGATTCGGTTTTAGGTTTAACATTTGTGATATAATTGTGAGAAACATTTAAGATATACAATTTATAAGGTTCAGTTATTCAGTATTTATTTGGTTTTGGGTGAGTAAGTGATCTTTGAGTAGACTTGAATTTATAAACAGGTAGTGTTTTTTATATTTACAGGTAATGAATTCCAGATTTTAGGGCCTTTTATGTGCTTTGAGTTTTTGCATAGTGTGAGATGAACACGAGGAACATCAAAGAGTGATCTGTGCCTTGTGTTATGGTCATGTGTTCTGTTGAGGTTGGCAAGGAGATGTTTGAGGGGAGGGTTAATATCAGAGTTAAGTGTTCTATGTATGTAATAGGTGCAGTAATAAGTATGGATGTTTTGTATGGTGAGTAGGTTTAGTGTATTGAAGGTGTTTGAAGCCTGGCCACTGAATGTGGATACTACAAAGTTGTGCTCCCTCCCCCTAGTATTATGATTGCTTTGGTTCCCAACCTTGACAAAATTGACAGATATTCTGGACACTGTTTTGTGAGCAATTTTATAAAAAAGATTTAGCTTCAGTTGTTTTACTGTCTTCAACATTCAGCATATCAAACTGCTGTAATTCATCATGGCCTAAATGTTCTCTTCATCCCAGCCCCAGGATGAATCTTAAAATTTTGTTCTGGGTGATTTGCAGTCTTTGTTTTTTGGTTTTTTTTTTTGTCAAGGCAGAGTACCATGAAGAGCAAGCATAATCCATAAGCCCTTGTATAAGGGCTAGACATAGGGTCCTGCGAGCCTTGGTAGATACACTGTGCTTGTCTATACAGGAACTTCAGTCTGGCATTTGCTTTCTTTACTACATTGTTCCCTATCAATTCTCCTGACATGCACAAGTCAAAGGGGATTCCCAGATTTTACTGGTGAAACCAAAGTGATGGGCTCCCCATTACTGAACATTAAAATTATTTACCCTTCTCGGTTTGTTTCGTGCCAAAGAGAATGGCTTCAGTTTCCCCGAGGTGTAATGGTTTGTCTACTAACCATTTGCTGCAGGACACCAGTTCCAGTGTTAAAACATTAGCAATATCTTGTGGGTCTTTACCTGACTCTAACAGAGCACTGTCATCTGCATACAGTAGGAGTTTGCACTTGACACTGATAGGCATGTCATTGACATAACATAAGAATAAGGGACCCAGAATACTACCTTGGGGGAACTCCACATGTTATTGGCATGGGTTCTGATTGTTTTGTTGATTTTTGACTATTTATCTCCTGTTGCTAAGGTAGGACTTAAACCAGTCTACAGAACCTATACCGATAGCTTGAAGTTTCTTGCATAATATATTGTGGTTGACAGTATCAAAGGCCTTTTGCAGGTCAAAGGTTACCATACCTATGAGGTTCCCCTTTGCACTTTAAAGGAGGGGTTTGGGATACTGGCAGTTTGAAGAGACTTCTAAACTGTTGTTGCAGAGTGCCTCTGCAAAGACTGATTCTGTATGAGTGATGGTGAAAGGTTGAATGATGAAAGTATTTTTCTTTCTTTATGGGGTCACCTTGC